ACGGCTCCCCTCCCCTTGCTCTTAACTCGGACGACACCCCAGATCGGGCGCGCCTGATCCCAAGCACAATCCTGGTAATCACAAATGCTCTCGTACCTTACCGGAAATAATCTCGAAAAAACATGTCAAATGGACTAAAACGTGCCAATTTTTTGTTGACATGTGGCGGGAAGGCAGTCCCTGTAGAATCTATGAAAAATTGTTCTCACAATGAAGAACGTATTTCATGAGTGCCTTTAAAAATGGATCTGAATAACTGAAACCGAGGGTAGAGTCATTTTCATACTCAATCGCTTCGGGTTTTCCTAATTTGCATCTTTTCTGCAACTTTTTGTTATTCCAACCTTACTCCAATAATTGAGTAAAGCTTCTTTGGCGGGGGAGGGGGAGGGGAAGTTCTTTCTCCAAACGATTTCTTCACACTTTACGGGTGAAAGAACACATCATTATTTTAGAAGAAAAAGCGGTTCCGGTCTTCTGCACCACACGATGATGCGATGGCCACACATCTGCTTCACATAAAAGTTTGCTAGCAGTGGCGTACTCAGGATTTCGGCTCGGGGGGGGGGGCGACAAAAAATTTTTTCCAGTGAAGGTGCGTGGCGTCAGCCATGCCCCCGAAGAAATTTTTTATAAGGCTAAAATGAATTTTTAAAAATTTTAAATATTATTTTAATTATTTACAAGTGCAGACAAGTCATTTGCACAATTTTATAACCCATGTAAGTTTCCCTCGGTCCGCCACTGCTTGCTAGCTATTTGCTGCGAAACTGTATGACTGATTCAAAGGCACCGTCTATTCAACTTCTCCATGTTTTTGTCGTTTTCAAAGCTTCTGAATGCCCTGATTTCGAATATAGAGTCGAGAATCCAGGAAACCTCTCAAAAATCCCCGTATTGGAGAATCCGCTGCAACAAGCGTGGGTGGGACGACCATATGGGTGGAGTGACCAGCTCCGGATACGTTCCTTCCGGAGCGGATTTCTCACTCCGAGAGCAATCTTTTGAGGCAGTTTGAGAGTTTGCCTAATGTGGGGGGCACACTAGTACACAATCATAATTTTGTCAACCCTCACTTTGGGAAGACGGTGCCTTCAGTCAGATAACGAAGCAGTGTGTTTGATTGACTAGTCACTTGCTTGTTTCCAAATTCTGTGTGAGCGATTTAGCTGAAAGGACGCCAAGAAATGTGTTTACAGCAATGTAACCATAGTTAAACATCACTTTATGTGATGGCCAATTGAAGATTGGACTTTCATCAATACTAAGCAACAGGGTTTTTATTCGTAAAAAGCAATCAAGACTCAAGGTGATAGTGCATAGTCAGCTAAGCTGAAACAATACAAGTGGTTGGGTACAACAAGCATGCGAACAACAGCACTTTACAAAAGTATAGGTACACGATGATTATGCCAGGGACAGCTGTCGAGCCACCAGTTTAAGTATACACAGTTCTACTACTGATCAAACTTTGGTTTGATATCTTTTCATGCCAACCCCTCATCCAACGTTTACACATACGAGAACAGTTCTGCTCTGTAATTTGAGTTGAACAGCTATTTAAACTAGTTCCAAGAGGCTTGGCATACCCATTATAAGGGAGAAAATCTTGTTAGTGTCAAGATAAATTGCAAGGTGGAGTTGGTCAGCCTAGCTTCACATTTCCTGAAAAATACGTTTATCTAGTGCTAAATATGATGTTTTTGATAACTAGGGCAAATACAGGAATAAATTTTTCACACTTCTGCTTCTAAACTTCGCAGGATACAGCTATGTATTTGAAACTAGTGAATGATTGTGTTCGCCCACCCTCGGACATTACTTCCAATTTACAACCATGAAAAATACAGCAAATTCATACAATGATTATTTATGGGCATATGATATACAGGCCTTGTAGAACCCATTGCTCACGCATAGCTTTGTACATCAACGCGCGAAGCGGGTGTAAACGCAATCCCGAAGCGACATAGGCTTGTTACAAGTGACAGTGAGCGCGCACTCTTCTCATACTTATTTTCTATACTTTTGAAAGAACATTTCGTTGAAATACAACTCGCGATGTTGAACACGAAAGTTAATGCAAAACTTCTTAAAAGATATTGAATGCCTACGGTCCCTCGCGACGACCGCTCGCTTAGGGTTCCTTCATACTACGCCGCGCGCGCGGCGTAGTATGAAGGAACTCTTACGCTAGTGTTGAAGGCACTTCGCTGGCAATTAGATTTTACACGCGCCTATAAGGCTCTGCGCGATCGCGAGAGTCGGTGAGTTTGCGGCCTTTGCAGCAGGATGCCACAGGACAACAAAACAAGTAAACAACCCGTACTTTTCAAGATCACTTCAGGTAGTTGAGAGCTAATATCTGAAGCAGAAAAGCATTTTTAAGAAGAAAGAGAACTGAGAAAGCTCAATTCGGGAGCAATGGCGCAGGCTCACCGACTCTCGCCAATTTGTACAGCCTTATACATGATGGTCAAGAGAAGGCTTGTAGGATTTTTCCGACTAAGCTCCACTTTTTGAGGCACTCAATGTTTTTAAAGTTTGGCTGCGAACATGCGATTACAACATCGCGACTATCTGGTAGTCATTTTGTAGGGACATTTTGGCCTATCGAGTTCCCCATCGCTTTACATTTAGGCTGTGGCAGGAGAAACTATCATCAATTTGGATTAGACACTGCACTGTCGATTTTTTTCAACAGATATGCATAATATAAGAAAGCTCAGTAGAGCAGACTTCTGGCACCATCTTTTGATATTTTGCAAAATTGAAGCAGCTGCACCAAACTGATTACTTTGCATTTACTTTCTTGGCTAGGACTCTAGCGCAAATGGAAGCATTTTTTCCAAACATTTCTACTGCAGGAAAATCTTGCTTAGAGCAGTCTTCTGGCCCCATCCGTTAATACTGTAATGTTGTCCACATTTATTTTTGAAATTGTTAAAACTGAAAAATCGTTCCAAGATTGTATTCGCTGCGGTCATCTTGTAGCAGAAAAAATTTCTTCCGGAGAAGGTAGTCACTTCTGTAAACGGAGAGTAGGACATCTAGTCAACAGTTTCTGCAAAATTACTAGGAAAACGTTCGGAAAAGCTGACTACTCTGATTCTTCTCCCGCACTGTCTTCATCCAAACCTTCTCATTCGCTTGTCAGACTCTGTCTACAGGCTACTGATTATCACCGATACTGACCACCCGGGGTTTTTCAACAAGGTTTAAGAGCTTTTTTTACCTTGTAATTCATAGTCTCCTGCACGCTTGTGACGTCAAATTAAGTGTGCGTTAAATGGTTTATTGTTTCTGACAAACAGTTCCTACTGTATTAAAAATGTAGATTCTGTACGAAGTTACAGCGACAAGTACTAGTATGGCAAATCTGCAACGATTCCGTCAAATTGCTGAGTTTTACGTCTTGGCAGTTTGGAAATTCCCAAAGCGTAAAACGGTGGACCACCATCAATTTAAAGACCTGCTGTACCGCTCAAGAGCATGTTTTACTACTCCTTGCTATGGATTACTTCGCATAACCTTTGCCTTCCAGTCATATTCATGAAAACTCGTATTCGCTTGTTTTCCTGTCAGCATAACAAGCACTTCTATTTATAAGTAAATTGCAACCAATCAATGAGCTATTCCTGTGTTAGCACTTTGTCAGTAATCTCATTTATTAGCGTCAAAAATATACTAACGATTAAGGACTAATGTGCATTGTCGTGCAAGTGTAGTTGCTAATTGTTTGTTAGTCCACATGTACGAATAGAATTCATAAATACGCAGAGCCGAAAAGATTGGATTAATTAGAAGAGATAGATTATATTGTCGGAAGGATCCAAATTTCCTCATACTTTATCGTAAGGTAGTAATAAAACACTAAAAATGAAGCTTCTCTTCTTACGGAAGAACTCAGGTCCGAAAGGATCAAAGTGAAACTTTTCAAAACCTGCACGCTCTGGATTAGCCTAGTAGAGATTGTCATAAGGCTTGCTTCTTCCGATAAAGTGAGCTCAAGCGATTTTGTTGACATTAAAGTTATCGAAGAAAACTCGACTTTGAAGGCAGTGGGGCAGGCAGTATCAAGTCTCGCCTATCTTGTAAAATCCTAGAAGATTTTGAGTACGCATTAAAATTGGAGATATCATTTGAAGGCCCATAGAAATAACGGGGTCAAGCTGCACTATCTGCCTTTAACGTTCGCTGCGGATACACAAACAGGAAGACTCTCTTGAAAAAAAAATCAAAACGCAGAGGATAAACTGACGAAACGCGTAAGCAGGAGCCGAAGGCGATCTGCGATTTTGCGTGCAGTTGTCTTGGTGCAGGAGAGATCGACCAAACATGACTTGGACAATGGACTTATAAGAAATTCAAACGAAATTTGTGAAAATCCTGCCCACACCAAATTTGGTGGCATAGTACTACTCGACTGATGCCCACTAACTTAAAGGCTACTGCATGAAGAAGACGCAAAATTAGTACTCATTAAGCGGGCGCGTACGCGACGCGCGCGTATTTTCATCGTTGCAAATCCTGCACCTTATGCGCTTTGTGGCTAATAAAGCCGCCTTCGCGCCTAGAGATATTGCGCTTTTTTTCTACAGCAGCCTAAATATATTAAACGCAAATTTACGCCAGTTATGGGCCGTAACTTCACGAGTACAGGCGCCTGAGATTTAGAATCGACCAAAGGACCCAAGGAATTTCTACGGTCCGAATTACCAATGGGAATTCAGCATAGCGAAGAAAAAAAAACGAAGAAAGTGCACACATTTATGGTATTTCCGAAAGTATGGCTATACTAACAATTTTTGGTGTAAGATACGAGCGTACGGGCAGCTCTAAACATAAAGCGATCTTGTTTAAGTGAATGACAGCTGAACATACAAAGATCATAACGAACCAAAGTATATGATAGTACTGTCTCAGTGCACCTTCGTTCATTGTATAAAAGCTGTTGAGAGAACTTACCATTCATAGAAGTTACCATCCAATAACGGAAAATGCTAGTTTTGCTTCTTCTTTTCTCTGCTGTGTTTGCCGCTCTAAGGGATAAAGCTGTAAGTCTGGAAATGCTTCTTGTTTTTCAGATTACATGCATGTTTCCAGTATTTTTTCGATAAATTGTCCGAAGTGCGTGTAGAAATCAGCCAATGCAGGGAGGATGCGGACCTAAACATGGATGAGCAAAAATTAAACTTGGGAGTGTTGGAGTGGTCTCGTTTTAATATGGTAGGTTTTGAAGTGGTACTTTCTACTGCTTGGTAGTCCGCATGTTCGAATGTTCCTTGGAAAAGAGCATAAAATTACCGTAATTTCACGACTGCAAGGCGCATTTTTTGGGTTTTTTATCTGAGCAGCTCAGTCGCTTCGCCGTGCCTCGCGAAAGGACGCTATGTCGAAAAATCCTCTAAGACTGACAACCTACCCCACGCGATTTCAGTCGCGACGCGATTTGGTAATACTCTAGTTTGTCATAGTCATAGTGAGGGATTTCTGAATGTGCGAAAAATAGGGCATTTTTACAACCTACGAAATTTATACGTGCTGTGACTTCAGGGTCTACCATTATTAAATTCGAACGTCTGACAAATTGCGCGTGAGGTATGCCTCGAGCCTAAGAAAAGCGCAACACTGTGCAGGGTCCTTTTTTCGCAAATTCTGTGGCGCGTCCGGAGAATCAAATACAGGAAAAAAATTCGCGCCATACACTCGCATAATTTTGCTTGGAAAATGTTTCTTCATTTGCTTTTTGCAGCACTTCTGTTGCAAATGCGCACGAAAGGCTAAAAGTTATCACGATCGTAAGATTAAAGACCCTAACTATACGATGGTCACACAAAGGTTTGTTGCATGCTCCAAGTAATTTGTAATAATCAATCTACATGAGGATGAGATAACATTTACAGCGCATGGCAAACGGTGGACTCGGAAGATCTGGCAAAGGAAATCGCTAGAAAGGTAAGGGACCGCATTTCATATCTGCATTCGTCTTGTTTTTGCAGAAATCCTTCAACAGCAAAGCGAAATCGTGTTTAGATTTCCTCTTACTCACGGTAGCTTGCTCGTAGATAGCAAACTGACACATTTGCAAGTTGCAATGTCCGGGTTTGGTATGCCACATTACGATCAAGTCACAGCTAAAGGCTGCATGACAAAGGCGCAAAAGCAGTAATAGTTGAGCGGGCGCGAAGGCGGCGCGCGCGTATCCTCACCACTGTAAGTTCTGCGCCTCATGCGCTCTGCGGCTAATAAAGCCGCTTAAAGATATTGCGCCTTCGTCATGCAGCAGCCTCTAATGCATAGATAATACATATAAACGCAAATTTGCACAAGTTATGTGCCGTAAAAAACGAGTACAGCCGCCGGAGATTTTCTAAAATCGATTAGCAAACACCCCAAAAGATCGCCAAAGGACCCAAAGAACCTCCACTCTGCCTTAGCTGTGTGTACTGGTCTGGTCCAGAAGTTCCGACGATGCTCCAGCGCGCTCGAACTGTGCCAGAAATGTGCTACCTGCGCTGCTGCTGCGGAAAATAGCCACTTTTGGCCGTTTCAAACGATTTCGATTGCAGTTTTCTGCACGTTTTGGTTTCTTTCTTATACGTTGCATCGTCTTTATAAAAAAATGAGCGCAGACTCGGAGCCAAGTGCAAATATGAACGCTAATTCGGTATGTTAAGTGAAGATTATCTCGAAAAGATAGTTTTTGTACAGTTTGTGCCAATTTTGACCGCGTCAAGCTTACGGCTTGCTTGGCCGCTCTTTTCTCAATCTTTTCATCTCCGACAGTTCGCAAATGAGCGCAATTTAGCGCTGCGAGCGCGCAAACTCAAGGGAACGGTTTAGGGGACAGACTGTACATTGCTTCAGTTGACCTTGGTCATTCGTAATGGAACACATTTCACTGTATGAATCTTGAAACGCTGATAACGATTCTGCTTTCGTCTTGCTAAACGACTGTCTGAAAAAACGATGGGCTCTTTTTCGCGAATTTTGCATACTAAAGCATGGTCATAATCATTGATAACCGGTTTTTCAAAGGGTAAACGCGACTGAGATAGGTTCATTAAGCTTGATGGAATTGCGCTTTTCACAATGTCGTTCCGAAGAGCGAAACAAGAAATTTGAGAGTTCCCAACTGTTTTACTCAATCGGGACAATGCAAATTCTTAAAGAAAAAGTTCATGACTTATTAAGATAGTCGTTAAGCAGATAGATAGAGCAGATCTGAAAACAATGTCAAGGCGCATCTAGTGATATATGTCTTGCAAATAGGGGTCGGCACGAGGTGGCTTTCCGAATATGCAAAAAACAAAGTCCTCCCTGTCTTTCGTGGAATTTTACGAAATATCCTTTGATTCCAACAAGCCCTAAATGTAAAAAAACCCTCAAGAAACGAAACGTCGACGACACGTAACCGAAGCGTGTTTTTCGGCCACAAAAACGATTCCCTGCTTTTTGTCCCAATAAAGATATTCTGCTTGCTTAAGCCGCCCACCAATCCTGCTTGCAAGTGGCCGAGGTCACCATGTAACCTTCTCTTGTTCGACAATTCTACTGTTCTTCGCAAACATGGCGAATCATCTTCCGCTTTACACCTATTTTATCAAGGATATTCTCCTCCAGAGCGACAGATGACTTTAGTCCTGCGAAAAACAGCGAGATATCAAAAGAAGTTCCAATCATCTTCAAGCAAGCTTGATCCTTCATGTACGCTTACCTAACGTGCGGCATGCCACCTTCAAAACGGCTAAATAAGATTATTCAGCACACCGAATAACCTCTCTAAGCTCCGATTAAGTTCGTGCGAAGTCATTTCAGTTGGCCTCATCTCTAGAATTCAGCAAGAGAGCAATCCATCTGGAAAATTTTAGAAAGTCGCCGAAAATAGTACTCACTGTAGACTTATCATAACCTGACCGAAAATTTTACTTCTAGAAAAAGGTGCTCCTCATTGGAGTGAGAACGCTTTCAATTTCAGAATTCGTCTGAATTGAAAAAACTGAAAACCTTGGATCCCAACTGAAAAATCAGTTGGGATCCAAGGTTTTTTTTACCAAACTCTTCAAGTGACTTCATTAGCTGTTGGATGGTCTTTATTAGCTGCTAGATGTCCCACGTAAATTCTATAATTGGTCAGGCCTACTTTTTGCTAACATGCGTTGAAACTCTCACGATAGGCCCACCAATAATCGTAAGCTTATCAAGAACATATGGTTTGAAGTGGCGAAAAGTGTTAGCCCATTTGTTCCATGAGCTAGACTGAAGACTTCCTGACCTCCTATCAAACGTTCTACCAACATCATTGTTGGATGAGACAAAACTTTAGCAAACTTTGCGTATGATTTTGATCTACTTCAGGTGATCATTGACATACGTGACGAAACGTTTAAAGAAGAGTTGCAAAGACTGCACGTCGGATGTGCATTGAAAAACAGATTCTATCTTCGCATCTTTGGTATCACGGCTGTATGTCTTGTTTACCAGGACCCGGTGTTTGATATCAAGCTTTAAGCATTGCACAAAAATGTGTGCAAAGAATTTTGCCTATTCTTAATTTCCCTTTTGGCCGTGAAACAAATCACATTTTCTTTGTGATCGTTTCATTTGTGGATTCAATAAAAACTCTGAGAAGACGAATTAGACATGTAAGACGAATGTAGGGTTACAATGTTAGTAAGAGCAAACGAAAGCAGCTTTCTGACAACGATGGATCAACGACTCGTTGTTGATATAAGTCCTGAAGCCTTCGAAAAAAAAACAGCTTGTATTTGCTTTTGTCGCGCAGGATGTGGAACGATGCTGAATTCATGAAATTCATTGTGGACGATGAAAAATGCATGAAACACCAACAGTTGAGTTTTTAATGTTTAAAGAATGTATACAGCAAGTAAGTACATTACCGCTCACGTTTGAAAAAAAAGACGCAAATCGAAGTAAACTTACGCGAAATCGCGTGAGTCGTGCGCTGGTCGCGTGAGTCAAGCGACGGTCGCGTGAGTTATCTGACGGTCACCTGATTCATGTGGCATCACCAGGGCCCTGCACAGATCGTCTGGAAGCAGGCTGGACTTCGCTTTTGGAGCAAAAAAGCAAAAGAGATTTCGTTTTTGACGAGCCGGGGCCGAGCACCAAGAACAAGCGCCATTTAGTCGAACACAACTTTTCGGACAGGTTATCACACGATTGACATGCTCTATAGTGTATGGCGAAAAGTGCGCGCGATTTAAAAACAAGGCTTAAGTAAACAAACTGCTTGTTTACAGCGCACACAAAAGCATATGACACCGAAATTGAACTGTATGTATATAATATTATTTGCAGAAGAATTATGCAAAAAGAGTTGAAAACTTACATGAAGTGTTGTGAAGATCTGTTCATTTTGACACCGTTTTAATTACTTTCCCCGTTTCACTATTCTTGTTGATTTCTTTCATAATTGAATTGATTATTGACATATTTGATTTGTTCGTTTTCTTGCAATGCCTTGATCGATACTCTCCGCAATCTCCATTGACCAGCCGCTGATCTACGAGTTTTCGACATTGCACGGGATACTTGGTGGTGATATTTCATAATCTTTATTGATCTCTGTGAAGGCTATAAAAGGGGACAGCCACGGCCGCCCTCGGCACTCTCTACTCTGCTCCGGTCCATCCTATTCTGCGGTTTTTCTTTGTTTTGTTGATAAAGAGTTTGGTCCAGACGTCTCTACTCTTCCCTCTAGCTATCCGGCCCACGCTCGCTTGTGGTGAGCGTGTTACAGTGTTATCTTTTCCAAAGTTATCCGTCTCCAGACGGTCACGAGATGATGTGAGATCGTCTGAAGCATATATTTATGTCATTTCACATAAGTTTTGGAATTTTTTTTCATCATGAACGGACTCCCCGGTCAAAAATCTATTCCTGAGCATGAAGGCATTTCCATATCATTGCCTTTCCTTTGTTTTTTGCCTTACTTTCTTCATAAATCACCTGTCAAATATCGCGCTCCAATGTCAAACTCTTGAGCGCGTATATTCAGCTCCAATTTGGATTTTCACTCTTATCGTAAGTTTCTTCTTTCAGATTAGTAAGTTTTTCTTGTTTTGATCTTCTCCTAAGTAGGTAGGTAAAAGAGGACTTCGTAGATGTTCCGAAAGTCAGGAGAGACTTCGTTTTCAGAAACCCTAGAAACCGACTCGCGCCAGGCCCTGGGCATCACCGTCGCGTGGCCAAATCTGATTTCAGAATGGAGAATATTGAAAAGGACACCGCTAGACTCGACTCGACGCGGAGCATCTTCTGATATCGGAAGTGGAGGTACGATAGGTATGCGGTAGAAAGTCTGAAGCTCTGCATAGAGCGTTACTCGATGTCCTCACTACAACAATAATATGGTGATGGTAAACCGTAGAGTTACGTTAGTTGTACGATGACAGAAAGTCTGCACATATATACGGTACCCACAAAAATTTTCGACACGAAAGTGAAGAGCTAGTCCGCGTTTTTTTTTTGTTTTTTCTTCATTACTTCCTTCAGATTTTACAAAGTATGAATTTGAAAAAGATAATGCTCGACTTATAAAGGCGATTATTATGATATACTACACTATCTTGCTATGCCGCTTTCATCAGCTCCATTTTTTTCTTGTAGGGACGGGTTTTCGCAGTGGTGTAACGCAGAGCAGAACAAATATGGACGATTCTAGTAAAAAAAAAAGATTCTGTGAAACTGCTTCTGTAGATGATCACGTGCTAAAGACTAGCCGGAGATCTCTCTTTTAGAGCGAAAGAGATGTCGATTTCGGAGTAGTCCGTGTCTGTGTCTGCCAAATTTTACTTACCATAACTCTACAGTAAGACGATGAGTTGCAATGCATCATGTTTTTCGTGAGCAGCAGGCTAGATAACCTGTATGCGCGAGTTTTCGAAGGAATTCGGACCCTTTGTTTTTCTATTCTCGGCTCTGAAGCTTGACGACGAGTTTCGGCTAAAATATTGATAATCTTGTATTGACCCGAAGACTCGCCCGTGGAGGTTTTCGGACCCCTGATTGCGAAAATAGTGCTCTTTGCGCACCTTAAGCGCTTTTAACAGGATGCTGAGGGAATTGCTGCGATACCAGGCAAGCTATTGACTTTGCCTGCGCATTTGGTGTATGTTAAACAGCTTACCTGTTTCTTTTTGTGTTTGAAATCACTAGAGACAGTGCTATCGGAATATGCTTAAAACTGTGTCTTATCTGTAATGGTCACAGAACTATGAGCTTATGAACTCACGTTCTCATATATATCGCTCAAAATTTGAAAATCGCATACTTTGGCCGAGTATCGTCGTGAATGGTTAAAGAACACTCTAACAACAGATATTATTTTTAATAAAGATCGATTCTGAAACAGTATGCTTGCCTACCCCCTGTGCCACCGCTCACCCCTGTTACGCAAAGTTTGCAAAAAATCGACAAAGCTGTAAAGCTCATCGATATTTCTGACTAACACTGTATTCGAATAGCACCTCCACTTACAGACTGTGTTGACTACTCCCAGCCGACGCCATCTATTCCTACCGGGCTGGCTGCGCGGGTGGTTCGCGCGCGGCAGCCACTAGCAAAGGAGCGCGCATTCTCACTTATTGCGCGACGGTCTTCACTCGCTTTTCATAACAATAAATTTGCTATAGTTGACTGCACGGAATCGCCCGGAATGAGCACCCGCGTGCGTGTCTCTTGCTGGCTAACGTTGGCATTCGCGCGTATAAGCCATCATAGCGCCCGCACTCGGCAGCGCGTTGCAGGCACGCTCGCGTGCGTTCAACCTACAACAACCCGAGTTAGTAGGGCTTTGCGCCCGTTATTCATTACAGAAGGAACAAATGGACTACTACTGAAGCGTTAGATTTTGTTTCGTCAGCATAGCCTTCTGACCTAAGTGTTTTGACAGGTCGTACTAGCGAATACTCTGTTCCAAACAACTTATCTGTTGTCTCTTTTATTGCTTTTCTGCGTAGATGTAAACTAGAGAAGATTGAACGTCTAGTTTTTTTACTGACCTCAACCTCTTAAGGTTTAGATTGAGCGCATCTTTCTAACGAAATGTAACTGCAAACAATTTGGAAAGCATCGAAATCCATGTAAGATCTTGACATGGTGGGATGATCGGAAATAAATGACGAGGTCAAGAGCCTATCAAATCATAACTTTGACAGCTTCATCAATATTTCAATTGATTTTCCAACAGCAGCCGTATACAGCAGCATCGTTAGCACTCATATAGGTAACGCGTCAACAAAAGCAGCTTAGTCTATCTGTGGATCCTTGTGATAGTGGCTGAGGTGATGAAGAATGCTACTGCAGAAGAGTTGCGCTGCCTAACCGTTCAGTCATATAGCAAGCTTTCACCTGCATTCGGTGATGCGAATGTTGAAACCGTGAATGTTTGGATTCTTCTTAATGTTCGAAACAGTAGTAGTTACATCATAGATCGATGCGTGACTGCTCATGGGTCCGCTGAAAGCTCCACCAAAGTGTAATGCTTGACTTGACAAGTAGGTTTACTGATGGATTTTAGATGTGCTGGAGCTACTGCAAAAATGCTTAGTCAGCATCTGACCATATATCTCATAGTCTGTGAAACTCCCAACTTCACCACCGTCATGATATCGTACTCATTACGGAACGAAACTTTATGTTATGGAACTACATAGCAAAATAATCGCAGCGGCTTATCTCACCTGGTGTTGCAATGCGGTGAACTGATAGTGACAGAGTTTCGCATAAAATGCACGGAAGATACTTCGCTGAAGCAATTTCCTTACACAGCTATTTGGGTATGGACCTTCTACGAAAGAGAATGACAGGAAATGCTTGTTGTATGACATCTGAGACAAGTTCTACACATCACCCATTCTGTGGCCAACATACTCTAGCACGCCTTAGGCACACACTATTTCAAACACTCGAACATGATCTCTCACGAATCCCAAATAGAGAGTTTCAGAACGCTTTTAGGCAAAATCATGAACTTGCTAAAACGTAAGCAAAGCGTCCTCGAGTATTTTAGTGAAGAATAGAGGATATGTAAGTTATGAGGCCAATGACAGCTTCACCGTATAGAGGCAAAACATAAGGTAGAATCTTAGCAATGACATGCTCATGTATAAATTAGCGAGGATCAAATTCTACAACAACGAGTTAAAAAAAACGAAAGACCTTGCCAAACTATGAGCCTCGCCTATCAATGGCCAGTATCCGACGGCATGTAAACAGACTACGGACTACAGATTCATAGTGCCCAAATGTCTCTACTAACTGTACTGCGTGACGAGTTCACAACTCTATACACCTAGACCGATTGACAGCGGTATGTCATTGTCGCACACATGTGAGAGATTGTGCGCGCCTAAGTCACTCGTCTGCGGCGCGCAAACCGCCCGCGCAGCCAACTTGGTAGGAATAGATGGGCCCTCCCAGCCTCATTTCATTTCATTTATTGCATAGGGTAACCCTATGATAACTGCAACAATACCAAAAAAAAA